TAATTTATGATATATGTTGCCTCAAGAAATGAAACGACGTACCTTAACCACATTCTAAGATGATTATGAGGAATTCTGACGGATCCCTAACAACGGTATTAAAAAGATCCAATTGTGTCATCTTTCTTGGCTCCCATACATTTCTCACGAATGAAAAGAAAGTATTTCTTTCATTATAATTACAAGTTGTCAGAGTAATGGGTGGAGTTATAACATATGGATCTAATATATCTTTTAATATCTAGCTAAGGCGACATATTTATAGTGCTTTGTGAAATATTGTATATGATATTTCAACAATTACATATTGTATTACCACGTTATTCGTTTTAAAAATAACATAATTTATAAATGTAAATCTAATTATATGGGTTTAAATGAATATGATACATTTATTGTTACATATAAACCATGCATATATCTCTGCATCTAATAATTGTTTGAAATCATTAATGAAATTATATTAGGAAAAGTTATTCGTCAAATAAATTGATAAATATATATGTATATACTCTCATGAAAAAAATTCTAATGAAAACTTATAAACTCATGCATTGTCATCATTAATTTATTATTATTTATGCAGAGTTCAATTTCTAGTAGCATCATTAAGTAATGTTTTTCCATTTAGGAGAACTACCCAACCAATGCACATTTTAAAATATCTACGGATACATCGTAAAAGTTAATTTTCTGTCGTTCTGAATAGATACAAATACAAACATGTACTATATGAGAAAAGATAACGTTAAAAGTAATTGAGTTATTCCATTATTTAATTTGAACTGTAATTCAGTACACTTAAGATTGAAAATTGCTTCGTACAATAGTAGATTTAGGGTGCAATATTATCTTCTTCACATCCAAATAAATGAGAAAAAACCGGGGCCCAGCGGACGAACTTTTTAATTCGTAATTACAGGACGCCGTCCAGCTTTAAGCACCATTAACTTTTTTCTAAAATTCCCCTATCCTCTCTGTATGGGGACCTCTATTTCTATAAATGAAATGAAACGTTTTATTGTACATTTTTAATTTAGTTCGGTCAAAGAGGAAATTCGAAATTGCTCTGTTCTATGTACAGGTATTTTAATTATATATAATTTCATTACATGTGTTTAAGTCGCGTTAATCACAAATCAAGGTATGCAAAATTAATTTAACAGCAAACCCTCAACTACAACAAGATGTCTTTTTCATTTTCTGCGTACTACTACTAGATCTATTCATCAAAGTATTAAAATGAGCTCATCAGCTATAACAATAAATATTTTTGCAGATCGTATATTTGACTACTAGAATCAACAAAACCACAAGTTTATTATGCTTTGAAAGTTTACTTAAACATAATTGGAAAGTCAATATTATATACACCTAAGTAAATATTTAAATACTTTTAGAGAAAATGTAGGATCAAGTCTTAAAACTATAGTTATCAAAGTTTAGCATAAAAGGAATCAAAATATCTACTGCAAGGGTGTGGAGAAACTATTCTTCTCTGTTCAGTTGTGGGCGTTAAAGCACATGACATGACATGTTCGGGGGCGTCAGAGCGACCCATGACCACCTTGTGCCATGAAGAAGTCATTTTGTTATTTTTGTTGTATTTTGATATTAAAACGCATTCTTAGCAGTTATGGTCGACCATGGATCCAAGAAGAAAAAGGTCAAGCCAGAACCTACTGTGATCTTGCCACAGATAATAATATTACCCAGATATATAATTCGTATAATTTTCACTATGACTTAACGATCGTCATGAATTTTTACATGTAACAATTTGGGATGGACATGAGAACATAAGGTAGGTACCTGGTTCAATTCAACCGAATTGACGTTCGTTTTTTGACGCGGCTTCAAAAAGGTAGATTATAATTTAATAATAATTATTTAATACAGTATCTTTCAGGTTGTTGGCTTGTTGCAGACGGTTATTGTTCATACCTGAAGTCCATTGAAAGTACGTATATACCAGACAAAATACTTTCTAAAGTACCCACATCCAATAAAGAAGTATTTACACCCGTTCGGGCACTCTCAAACGGATATCAAAGTGCGTCGTTAGCAGATCTCTTCTTGACAATTTTATTGCGAAATCTGCGCGTATTATTGAGGTAACATAAGGGCCCTTCACACTTTCCTTACGCTAGTTATCACGATTTTTGATGCGTGCGGCTTTTTCTGTCCTCTTCACTTTTTTCTCTTTTATTTGTTGATGACGATTTGTCGATCTTTGATGTAACCTACTTTTGAGACTTTACCGCTTCTCCGCTGAAATAGCGTCACAAGTCTAAAAATAATATTTTTCGGGTACAACGAAAAATATTATTACTATATATTTTTACCATTGGGTATATTAGGCCTGGATGTAATTACTTTCAGAATTATTTTAGTACAAATTGTGGCATTTTACATGTACGTACACATTATTTATATTTTATATTACGTATTCAAGTATAAAATCTTATGGAACAGCTTGCTTTGTAGTGTTTTGATTTATAAGGTACTAAAGTAATTTTTTCCACTTTCCATCAGATAAGTCGTTAACTTGTTTGCCATTCCAAGTCTATAAATAAAATGTAAATAATTGCATTTAAATTTTCCCTTAATTAGTTACTAATGAAAAACAGACTTGTATCTACCAATCAATCAATACTAGTATTACTAATTCGAAATAGTGTCCAACTATGTGTTACCATACAATAACCGCCTTGGTGATCCAGCGGTTTAGCACATCGCTTATTTCTAAAGGTCGTGGGTTCGATTCCTCGCACGATACAAACATTTGTATTCTTGAGTATCATTCTTTGTATCGATCTAGGTGTTTTCTATGCATATTATGTATGATATGATAACAAAATAAATCTAATGATTTATGTGATTCATCTAGTACTCATAACTCTCAAGCACTGCTTAACTTGGGACTAAATGGAGCTGTCCGAATTAATTGAGTGGATAATTTGTTATTATAACTACTAAAAATTGTTCAATCTTAATTAAATTTGACTTAATGATATATTGTAACACAATAGTAAGGCCATTTTTATTAAAAATAACTGACAAAGTGGCGGGTAACGGCTATTATTGTTATACCTCTAATTTTATTTTTTCAAATTAAAGTGAGTGGACAATGTAACAAATTGAGAAAGCGTGTCCTCGGACACGTCACTCGAAATAGTTGGGAAAGCGAAATCAGGCGGCACTTTCAGAGTAAAGTTGTTCCTTAGATGGAAACGACACTTAAGTGTCTTGTACAGTCACTTGACAACACTTGGCAACACTTGGCTGTGTGTATAGGTCCACACAGAAAGTTTTCTGACCGTTGCATCTCGGGAGGAACTGTATTCTCTTTACAAAACTTTCTATTTATAACCGACTTCAAAAGAAGAATTGTTTCGTATTTTATGCTATGTCTACAACACCATAATTATTGTATTATGGAGTTTCAATTTCGATATTGTAATACATTTTTTATTTGTACACATATAATATACAAAGAAAACACCCAGAACAATACAAACAATCATATCAACCAAAACAAATACTTGCATCATGAGAGGATTTGAATCCGCGATCATTGTAAGTATGTTAGACCTAGACCGCTACACCGCCGTTATGTTGAGACTTTTCATTTTATTAACGTACGAGTCCATGTAATTAATGACCAAATAACAATTTCCTGAACTGACCAACAAATGGTCGGCATCCGAGACGCGCCCGCAATGCAGAAAAAGTTAATAACGCTTGAAGTTCCAGCCTCCCTTGCAATTATAAATTCATGCCCACTCACCCCACCCTTACCTATATATAAAAATTAATCCCTATTTGCCTAGATCACGGTATCACGCATGGACGGCTGGAACGATTTCGTAATTTATTTTTTGGTCTGTTTGTTATTTTCAGGAAAGGTGCTTTTGTGTTCATTAATAACTAGGATATTGCGTCACCCACAAACAGCGGCTCATTTAGAACTTATTTTTTTGAAGTCTGCATAAAATACACAGTGTGGTATTCATGAGGCAAAAATGCAATTGTACACCAATGCGAATTCAATATTCATTGATAAGACAAGAAAACATGTGTCGAAACAACTACAGTATATACTTTTTATGGGAGACTAAATTAACGGGTGTAAATGTCAAATTTTCAAAAGACATTAATACCGATAAATTTTTAGTTGTGAAGTAACTTTTCATAAACAGACAAACAGCCTTTCTAATTTATAGTAATAGTATGTATTGATGGGTAGATACTTAGATGTGTTGTTGTTGTTGTTATTGCAGAATTTATCATCGTTCCACCATCACTCGAAGAAAATACCTACTGGTTGAAGACGTAATTTTTGATAGTGTAGATATGAGTGCATACTTATGAGTTATATATTTTATTATATTCAAAACAACTGATCATCTAATGAATGTCATGAAAAATAAATTTCTAGTCAGATAAATAAATTACCAATAGGTATTAAACAGGGCATTTTTCCTTGTAGAAAATCATTAATTATCTAAATTGGTTTTCTACGAGAAGGATGCTCGCGCAAGAAATCGTGATATTTCCAAGCGTTGGGGGGTAATGACATAGCATTGGTCATATTTCCCCCTTCTTTATAAAATATATTACGAGCTCGGCCTCGACGATTAAACATACCACCTTGCTTTTTATGATCTCGGGTTCGATACTCACATGATGCAAATTTTTGTATGTGTATTGGTATATGTTTGATGTATATTATTTATGATTAAAAAATGTATATTACTATTTGTTTAAATTTTTAAGTACCCATAGTTCAAACTCTATTACGTGCTTGTACTAAGTTATTATTAGTATTTGTTACTTATAATTATTATTGTCATTGGTAATAAATATAATAATATTCTCATTGTAATCTATTACAGAATCCATCCATATTTTTTTTTTATTACAATCGTAATGTGCAAATTCAACAAATTATAATATTTTATTAAAATATTAATGTTTAATTAGAATTATTTATTTAATTATTCTTCACACTCCTCGGCATCATCTTCCTCTGATTCCTCTTCTTCTCCTTCAAATTCATACATTTCCACAGCCAACATGTGACATGATACTTTTTGTCCCATTTTAGAGACTGCCAATTCTACCGCATAAACTCCACAGTTGTCCTCAGTCAGCATATCATTAACGCAGTCATTAAGGTCCAGCATAATGTTTTGCATTGGATAATCCAGCTATAAAAAACAGCACAACAATAATTATCAGTATGAGTTGAATTTCTTAGAAACCGAAAAAAATATTGGATTTGCAGTAATATACTTATATAATATATAGTTATTTAATTTTATTTAGTATGCTATGGAATAGGGTCACTTGAATTATAAATGTTTTAGATGTTTTTTTTAATTTGCTATAATAAATACAATAAGTATAAGGTAAAACTTTAGATATTGGCATTGTGTATAAATTTTGGATTTGATTACTGAAACTTGCATACATTTTAAACATAGAACTTTAGTAATATAATAATAATAAGTTTATTTTTATACAGCAACAATACAAATTATAAAAATTATAATCCTAGCCGTGTTATATGTATATATTTGTTTTCGAATATTGGATACTCGTACATTTTAAAAACAATAAGCTGCAATACAATCAGCCAGCAATTTAAATGGTAATGAAAAATTTTAAGTAGTTTTAATTTTTATTCATTCTTGAAACAAAAATCTTAGTTGCCAGAGAGGTTAAAACTATTTCAAAACTTTTAGCCGTAATGGCCCTTTATAGCTTCACCGGACTAAAAACAAAATGTACAGTTTGCTTACAAACACAACACATTTTTCTGTCCTACTTTCTACTATTATGTGAGCATTTTCATATGCGATACATAATGTATAAATATTAACTCAGCAGGTTCATTTTTTAATAGAAATAATATAAGAATTTTCTGTTCCTTGGTAAAACGTTTGTTTAAAGTTACCTCGCAAACAGGAATAAAGTACCTACTAGTCTTACGAGTCTTTGCCGAAATAGCAATTAACAATGTCTAAATGAATGAATGAAAAGAATGCCAGCGTCTTGACCTTTTAAAATCACTAAAGACAATAGCTTTATTTTCTGTCTCGATAGGAATATACAATTTTTGCGATAATAATATATAACTCATTAAATTATGTCTAAATTTATGTAAACGTTAACATTGTAATATTTATATATATCACAGATATCGCAATTTCTAGTTTATACTAAATTCATATATGGAAATATATGTAGTTTTTTAGTAAATAGTACTTAAAAGGCATCAATTACTTATTAGGTTTATATTACTATATTAGGCTTAGCATACACTCTGACTACCCCTGTACATATATGTATATATACTTACAACTTCAATCGGACAAGAGGTGATATGCATACTTTCCACAACAGGAGCCCAAGGTGCATTTTCGTCCTTTAAACTAGAGCATACACCGACTTCGGATGTGAACATCATCTCTTTACCAACTTCTGTATCTTTGTACACACTTAATGCCAACTGTAACAGAATAAACAGAAAATTTAATTTGTTAACACGATATTTTCAGGTATAGATGCACCATATTGGTGCCGGGTCCATCTTGAGGCAGGGAGAAAACATCGAGTGCATTTCGAGACATATGACACCGGTGTAATTTTGGGCTTCATTCCAAAGCACATCAATACTTATCTTCACTATTCATATTGGTCTCCCAACCCAACCAAATATTTTTATTATTCCAATAAGGAACGGGAATCAAATTAACGTCCCGCCGTGATGGTAAGTGGACATGGACAGCGACTCATAGGTAGTCCCTTTACTAAAAAATCATTCGGACGGGAATCAATAAATCTTTGAAGGCACTTTGAATTGCCCCATCGGAGTTGATTTTTTTCCCATGCAAGAAGTAATCTAAATTTCGAAAAAAATGGTAATATGTTGGAGCAAGGTCTGGGGAGTACGGTGGAAATCTTAGACATTCCAACTGAAGTTCTTCTAATTTAACTGTCTGTTGTGCAGTGTGTGGCTAGACCACACACTACAGTTGTCCTGAAGCCGCAGTGGCCTACGGCGATTGACCAGCCTCATTTGCTTAGCAGCTTTTCCAGCATGGCTTACAATTGCTGACAATACGCATCTGCCGTAATCGTCTGGCCAGATTTAAGAAAGCTGAAGTGAACAACACCGGCATTAGTCCACCAAACGCTTACAAGTAATTTTTTTTGAGTCAATTTTCGCTTGGGGCAGGATTTGGCTGGTTCACCCAGTGTTCAGCCATTGCAATGAGCGTTTCCGATTATCGTACAAGATCCACTTTTCATCACAAGTTCGATTTAAAGTCTCTTCATTATTATGCCGGTACTAATGTAACGCAGCAGTCTACGCGATCCACCTTTCAAGCTTTTTCACCTACCAATTTGCTTCAAGTGAATTAAAACGCTACTAACACCGCAGACTGCAGCTAACTCAGACGTGGTTTGCGATGGATCCGCTTCCGCAATAACCTTAAATTCTTCATTATTGAACTTGGACTCCGGCCGCCCACGGAGCTTGTTTAGCAGGTCGAAATTCCAGAACGAAAACAATGGAACCAAAATCGCACTGTGTTTTTCTTTGCGACACTACCGCCATACTAATCATTAATCCTTCGAGCCGTTTTTGCAGAACTGGTGCCACGGCGGAACTCTTACTCCTAAATAATGCGAAATTTTAATTTTTCCATTTTGTAAAATAAGTGACGTAAATAAAAAACCAAAGATGGCAAAAACATATGAATTACGGTTTTCGAAAAACAAATGCATGAGTAAGTAGTATGACAAAATGCGAATTTCATATGCAAAGACCTAATATGTCAATTAGGTAATTTAGCGTTTTATAATTCAATAATTCTGTATTTTCCTGATACTGTGACTGTAAATAACATAAAAATAAATTAATAAATTATAAGTATAGTTGCATTCTTCTACAGAGTAGGTAGGTATCTGTGTTTAAAAAAGAAATTGGAAATCTTTCCTTGACACCTTTTTTTACAATATGAGAATAGAATAGAAAATCATTTATTCAAATAAACTCACATTGAAACACTTTTGAATAGTCATCACATTTTTTTTTAATCTACCGCTCATTCGGAATGCTGTCTCATCACAAGAAGAACGAGCAAGAAACTTGCGTGTTGCTCTTTTAAATAATGTTATTGTTACTTTACATTTTTAACTTTAAGTGTGTGTGTGTGTGTAATACATAAATTATATTATTTTAGATACATATGTATCTTAGACACATATACATATGTATATATATTCTAATAACGCTAGTTGTGGAATTATAAAAGATGTACCTGTATAATAAAACTGTAATACTGTGAACAACTTAATTGTACTGTATATGTATATAGAAAAACACTTTTATATATTTCTTATTATTACGTTAATTACAGAATATGATATCTTATTTATATTATATAATTCGCATTCGCCAATAGATATATACGAAAGAGTTATCAAACAAAGCAGTTATACATAATACATTATGCAATAATGAATGTTCATAAATCGTGTAAACAAAATACATTGTCACAGAGACATTAATGACATCACCCGAGATATTTATATGTATATGTTTCTCTAAAATTATTAATGGTAAGGTACTAATGTAAGTTCCATATTCATATCATAAATATTTTATTTGTTATATACTTTTTTTAAACTAATCATTTGCATCATCCTTCTCCAATTTATTTGAGGTCGGCGTAGTTTTTCTCTTCCATTCCCTGTTCGCAGTCATCTCATTATTTACTCCCTTACCATCCACAGACATATGTAACTACTTCCTTAAAATATTCATTTCTACGCTTTACGTACCCATACTTTTTATAAAACTAATATTTTACTCGAATTTTATGTAAACTTTAATAAAACATGTTTAATGCGTACGTAACATTTGTAAAATACCCATAGGAAATACCCTCATACGTATTCAATAACTGCGAAAATTCTTCTAATCAACGTCACAAAAACATTAAGGTCGTTAAAAAAAGTTTTGGTATTTTTTGGCATTCTTAATCTTTAATAATCTTCGAATGCTTAATCGACACTACTATAACAAAGCGATAAAATTTGTTGGCGGATGTTTGGTATAATTTTGGTAATACCACAGATAACATAATATTACGTAGTAATACCAGTGGCACACAATGAGGAAGTAGCCATTATTATTGCTAAAAGTTGCATATAGATGGCGTGATTGGTATCGATGGAATTCGTCATAGTTTTGCAAACGTTTTAAAAAACAAAACTGTGTTTTCAAAAATGTTTAATCAATTTTTAAAAAGTTATATATACATGTTAAAATGAAATAATGCGTTTAGAAAAGTAATTTTCATATATTTACTCATTTTGTTATTTTCCAGTACTTAATTACACTTTAATCAGTGCTAATATGGGGCTCGATGTTTTCAAAATGCTTTCATAGATGGCATTGTCGTCATTTGTATCGGCCTAATTAAATGTCTTTTTTATATTTTCCAATAATAAGCACTTAATATATTATTATTGTAAATTAAACATATAAAAAATTTTTAAGTAAATTATAAATAGCCGAACAAGCAAGTAATAATATTTCCAATAATACTTATGTATGAAGTGTTGTCATATTATAAATAAATACATGTATTATCGATTTTTTTTAATAATCGATAACAGGATTTTATTACGCATTATTCGATGATGCTTTTAATGAGTCGTTGTGAACAGTAAATTTTCATTATTTTGTATTATAGCAGTGTTCCGTTTCAAAGAACGGAATATAGTAGTACATTATTAGTGTCGTTGGTTATTTGCATTTGTACTGAAAAATCGATTACATAATAATTTAAAATATCGAGTACGAATCGTAGTTGTCTTCGAATACTGGCAACTGGTAAGATTAAAATAGTATTTAAAAAAAAGAGAGAAATCGATCCTAATTCGAATACCATAAAGTTGATTTTCGTTCCTCATTAATATCATAGCAGTTTGTTTTTAACTCTGTGGTATGATGTTTAACGTGTATTGTTATTGTACGGTGCATACATTTCAAAAATTATATTTTAATGTAGGTACATACATTACTTTCATACATTTCAAAAATTATATTTTAATGTAGGTACATACATTTCTTTCATACATTTCATACATGTCAAAAATTATCTTTTAATGTAGGTACATACATTTCTTTCATACATTTCATACATGTCAAAAATTATCTTTTAATGTAGGTACATACATTTCTTTCATACATTTCATACATTTCAAAAATGAACTTTTTATGTAGGTACTAATGTTTGTTGATACATTTTTTTCATACATCTCATACATTTCAAAAATTATATATTAATGTAGGTACATACATTTCATAAATGTCAAAAATTATCTTCTAATGTATGTACATACATACATTTCTTTCATACATTTCATACATGTCAAAAATTATCTTTTAATGTAGGTACATACATTTCTTTCATACATTTCATACATTTCAAAAATGAACTTTTTATGTAGGTTCATACATTTTTTTCATACATCTCATACATTTCAAAAATTATATATTAATGTAGGTACATACATTTCATAAATGTCAAAAATTATCTTCTAATGTAGGTACATACATACATTTCTTTCATACATTTCATACATTTCAAAAATTATATTTTAATGTAGGTACATACATTTCTTTCATACATTTCATACATGTCAAAAATTATCTTTTAATGTAGGTACATACATTTCATACATTTCAAAAAGTATCTTTTAATGTAGGTACATAACACCCCATGTCAGACCCCTTGTATTTGGAAGAAACTTAAAAATAATGCCAAAAATATTAGATGAATATATTTTTAATACGAATATTGTTTTATTTTTGTTCATCAACTTTATCCCTCACTAACAATACTAGTAGTAGTACATAACCTGGTTTATACCGCTAAAGATATTGAAAGATATACGAGTAATTCAGAATGTTTGGCGTGAAAGCGAGACAAATAGACAGACTGAGTTACTTTAGCATTTATAATATTTTTAAGAATATCGCTATTAAAAATAGGGGTTGGTGAAAGACGGGTGAAAATTTAGGCGTGTATGTATTTTCAATGTAACATTATAAATAAAAAAAAAAATTGTCCATAATACAAAAAAATATTTTTTCGGGGTAGGCCACCCCTATGACTTAGGGGTATAAAAAATAGATAACAACCCTACTTCAGACCTGGCAAGTATACATATCAATTTTCATCATGGGAGAAATATGGCAACTAATACTGTGATACAAAATTTATATATTGTAATACACTACCTCTAAGTAGATATATATATATTATACCCGCCGGTAGCCTCGCGCTGTTGGCTCGTTGCTAAGCAACGGATACCCCGGTAGCGGTTGGGCAACGGGAGGCCGGCGGCAGTTGGTCGTTGAATACCGCACGCAGCGCAATAGTCTTACAACTTATTTTAATTATTTTTATGACGATCCAACAATATAAGATATAGCGGAATTCTCATTAGGTAAAAGAGGGGTACATCGTAGAATACATGAGGTATATACCAGTAAATTAATTGTAGCTAAAATCAGTCTCATACATATAACGATTGAAATAAAAAATCGATTTTGATACGTACGAGTATAAACGTATCAAAATCAGGCTATACGTATAGCGCAGACGCGTTACAACATATCAAAAAAATAGGCATGGAATGTAAAATAAACCATAACATAATAGGTATATACATTGGCACATAAGCCATATCTGCAGAGTGTCGGCTAACGATATTATACCTACACATTTACATTGAATCTTGAATCGTCCCTAATGAGGTACACGATACAGTAACCTACATATCTATTATATACATATCTTTGCAAAACAGATGTCATGTAGCTGAATTGACTGCCATCTATTTTCATGCTTTGTTACTAAGCACCCACTAGTAATCCGAACTGCTTCAGATCTAGCGACATCTAGCGGCTACGGTGGCGAAATAAAATAGCCCGAAGAATAGCCCGAGTTAGGAAGGAACCATTTTCTTGTATGGGATGGGGTATCTGTATGTAATATTATGTTATCTGTGGTAATACCTAGTAATCCGATTTTGAAAATTCATTAGTGTTGGATAAGTCATTAATAGATGAAGGTTAAGTATGGAAGAAACTATCCATCACGCTAATACAACATCACGCTACATCCAATAGGAGCGGAGCTACACTAAAACATGTTACAAAAGCGGGGAACATGTGACGCAAACAAAATTGCGTGGGTACGCTAATAAAACACAAATTGCATAAAATTTAACAAAACTCTAGTTTAAAATTTTATCCTTAAAGTTGGTTGACCAAATTCTTATTTTTATTAGTTAATGCATTTTATTATTAAGCATAATATGATAGAGTATTTACCATGTGTTCATCATCAACAGTGGCCAATACACTCATAACTCCGCTCAACCCCATGAGTTTAGGACCGCATCCCTTTGATAATCCCAGTTTTAAGTCCACTTGTAATTCTTGATTATCGAAATCATCGCACGCTACCACATCGTCAGCTATTTTTAAACGGACATCACTCTGAATAAACAAATAATGTCAAAACTGTAATATAAATCTGTCGATAAATATAATAAAATTATACACATAATGATAAATATACTCGCAAATATATCAAATCGCATTAATAACTGGACAGAAATAAAGAAAATATTTTTAACAACAAAAAAAGTAACGCTTATCGCAATAACCGATTTGGATGGGGTTTTTGGTGCATTGTGGTGAGCTTCAATTAAAATTTACTGTTTCTTTTATACCGATCGATTTACAAACAAAAGTTTAGTATATTATAGGTACTAATGCATATCTAGTTTACATTGTTGTAATTATAGAAAAATCTCTTATAAAGAAAAGCTACTGGCTGATATTGTATTCCATACGTAGCAAAATAATTTTTGAAATTTATTTAGTATTTTTTACTTTACCTGTTATATATAAAAACTATTTTTTACTAATTTAAAACCTATTATAATAAAAACGATTGAAATTTACATAAACCATCATAAATACTTACACTTGCCACCAAATACATAAATTTAAATAATACAATGTACAGTAGCATCTTCGATAGATACAAATTGCTTTTAAAAACAAACAAAAATGTTTTTTTTCTTTAAATAGTACTTTTTATATACGTGTGATAATCATCTATATTGTCCGTGAATCTATTCATTGTATATAAATGATATGATCGTTATATGTACATGTATATTGAGAGAACTAGCATCACGCATTAAATATATCTCTCTATTGGTGACAAATTGCAATAACTCTAAATTTCTAAAATTATGGAATATAGACATTAAATCTACACAGTTAAAGTCAATTATTCATAATAATAATGTTTGAGTTAGTACAGTATGTTATTAAGCATGCTATGTAACAATAAACATGCTATTTTGTTGTAATTGGTATTTGTTGTTTGTTAATGGTTTTTTATATGATTAACTAGCTGTATCCTATGGTGTTGCCATGGATTTAGTTTTATATTTATTTTATAATAATGACAATATATCTCCCCCATTATTATTCCAGATGGGATAGTTATACTAGATTGTCCGGAACTTTGTCTATCGACGTCACTTCGCTAAGTACATGTGAATCTAACTTGCTCGGATTATTTTGGTTTGTTATTAATGTTGGTTTATCGCAACGCACTGTTAATTATAAATACACATTGATACACGAAGTTTTTTAGTATAGGCCAGATCCTAGTATCAAATTCAAATCCCAGTATAAGTAGAACTGTGAACCACTAGATCACTTTGCTCTCATTTAATCAATTTATGATATAATGTAACCTATAAATTAGTCTAATATAATTTAATGAAAACATCATTCAATCATATATTATTAAAAAATATATTTTCTAAGCTCCTAAACCGAAATTTTATAGACGACAGAAAGCGGCAAACAGTTTTTTTTGCTCTGGTGTAAAATTGAGGTTTTCAAGTTATGACAATTTGGCTTTTTTCTGTCAATATAATCAATTAAGAGGAATAGAAAATATATATAAAGATAATATATTCTTAAAAAGTTCTAAGTTCTATTTTTGTCTTGCAAACTTTGCCACGGAACATGTACGTGTACTAAAAAGTTCTACAAATGATTTGACACTAACATATGTGGGAATGCAACTGTTTGTAACTCGAAACAATATTGCATTCACTCGTATACCAACTAATGAGACGCGAGTTCACAATAATTGTTTGCCAAAGTGAAAAAAAAACAGTAATATATTTCGTATAAGACAAACAAATGGTGCGTTCCTGTCCGTATATCATTCCTCTATAGTAGTTTTATGTAAATGACGCCTACTTTTAAACTGCCGTAATTTTTAGATTCCGATTGCAATTCCCCCTCGACGTATTTGTTATCTCGCTGGATACAAACGAATGCGTTCACATTTATGATTTACTGAATGTTTTTGCTAAAGTTTCCTGGCTGTATTAAATCATTTTCGATCAGAGTTCACCTATGGAGAACATTTATTTAATACATGAAAATTAGAAATGAAAACGAAAGACTTATTTGATAATTTTACTGACAAACAAACTGGCGATACGCTTGATGGAAAGTGGAAGTCGTTGGTAGACAGGAATAACATCACGGATATCACAAAATGTATAGAAATGATTTTGACTGTGTAAATAAATACTCAATCAAACTAAACAATATTCCATATTTACGTTTTTATATATATTATGAATGCGAAAGTATACCCATCTGTGTCCCCCTTTCAAAAAGATATCCCACTGGTATAAAATATCTGGCTTGTAAAAAAATACATAGCTTATAACTTAACATACCATTTAGTCTAAGGGTCTACCTTGGACCTTTATAAAAGATCGGCCTTGTCTCATCTATTTCAGCCGTTAAGCAGCTTGCTTTGTAAGCTGTGTTTCAGTTAAAAGGTGAGATAAGGAAGTGACAATACAGAACAAGAGGCCTAATATATGTATTTGTTCTTCGCAATGGCTACGAATGAGGGTTATCACGAACATCACATGATAACGTGATGTTTGTAGATCTATTTATATATCTACATTATAGGCGACAGTATATAATATAATATTGCAGCAATGGTTGCAATGTAGGAGCAATGGTATTTCCGAACCGATACGATATTGAAACCTTCAAGAAAAGAGCTTATTCCTTTTTAAAATGCCGACAACGTACTTGAAATTCCCCTGGTGTTGCGGGTGCTCATGGGCGGCGGTAATCACTTACCATCAGGTGAGCCGTATGCTCGTTTGTCCCCTGTGTTATAAAAAAACAAAAAAAAATATTTATGGTAAGTGGTAACACTTAGGTGGGCCGTTAGATCTATTATATAAAATAAATACGAAAACTTAGCAGATATTATATCACGTATCATAAACAGATATTTTTTGTAATTATTTTTTTTCTGGAAAACGGTAAGACCAATTCTAGCAGATATACGTCATGAATACATGTTTTTATCGTGTGAAGTTCGAATCCTTGACCGTCAGAAGGTGATGTAGTATGTTAAACCGCTATATTACCGAGGTCGTTATGGTAACAAATAAAAATGTCATCAACATGTATTCAAATCTCAATTTTAATATACATATATCAACATACGAAAACATTTCTGTTTCTTTGTCTTTTATAGGTAAAACGGAACTAAACTACAGATCTGAATTTAAGAAAAGTTGACGTGAACAAACAAAAGCAGTCTTTTAAATGAAATGAGCAGGTCAGTCGCAATAACCGCTAGTATGTAATAAACACGAGCTGGCTACTTCTCACGTCAGCAATTATTTTTTTTATATAAATACATTCATATCATTATCCTCATTATGGTGAACATTATTACCTGACATACTCACAATTCTTTAAAAATATTTTACTTCAATATAAAAAGATGCGAATGTACCGCTATATCACGGATTAATTAGTTATGTTATTTATAACTGTAATATGTGTATATGACACCTATAAATAAAGATATAAATTGACACTAAATAATTACAGTTTCTTTATGTCGTATACACACCAATTTATAAACATTGGAATTTGAAACTGGTACTGCATCGATATTTCCGTCACCGGAGAGTTAAATAAAAGTCTCGATAGCATACTTAATTAATCTAAAATACAGAACATCTTTAAATAGTATAAAACGAAGTCACTTCTGCTCTCTGTTCGCTTATATCTTTTGAAGTAACGGATTTTAATGTAGTTTTTAGCAATAGATAGAGTGATTCAAGAGGAAGGTTTACATGTATACATGTACTCGTACACCCGTGCGAAGTCGGGGCGGGTAGCTAGTATCTTATATAATACATTTATTGAAATTGGGACTGGGAAGAATGTAAGTAACGAGTCTATTAAGCTACTCGTATGTTATATAGATCAGTGCTGTCCAAACCATGGCCCGCGGGCCACATACGACCCGCAACTTGAATTGTTGCGGCCCGCTAAATATTTGTTGTCTTTTTTTAAATAACATAAATTTAGTAGAAATAAAATTATAATTCCATTTTTTGCAATCCCAAATGATTTGATGAGTAAATTATTTTCTCTTCTGCTCTTATAAGCTTGCACTGCGTCTAGCTACTATCAATATTGATGTTGATGTTGACAGAATTGTAAATGATAATATATCTGCATTTTCTTTTTAAAAATATATTGCGGTCCCTCAATGGATTTAGTTATTTTTATCGGCCCTAGATCCTATCGGTATCCTGAGCGGTAGAATAAAAAAACTTGATTATTCAAAAGTGTATTTGTATAAAAATTATTTCTATTTCTATCTAGTTTGGACAATCCTGATCTAGATTTATGCGCATAAAATTGTCAGAACCCCCACTTAATTTGATTGTCAGTGACACCTATGCAAATGATACGTTACGTCTAATTGAATATCTTTGTTACGAGTTAAGGGATACCTATTCAATGACTTTTGGGATCCCCTCTATATTCCCAAATCATTGAAATTAATTAAATATAAGGGATACGTTGGTATCTACTTATTTTAGAAAGTATATTCAAGTCGCTGAATATCACACCGTTTTCCGGGTTTTTTGCGAAAAAAATATTTTTTGAATGGGTTTTGTTTTATATATATTCCTACTAGTTCATCTGCATTTTCTTTTACAGACAGATTAGGTGTATATACTACCACAGAACACAGATTTGTTCTGTGTATATTACAATAATAATAGACTTTCCTAACCCTAATGTCATTAACAACATACAAAAAATATATTAAAAAAAGCAAAAAGATTTCAGTGCACTTTTACAAAAGAAGCTACTTGGCGAAATAGTTAAGACAAGTACCAACGTATGTAGCCAACTTTGTACAACGTCAAATTATTTTAAAATAGAAATAATCTTTATTCAAATAAACTTAATAAAAAATGTAAAAGTTTGTTTTTATGACTAAGCTGCTGAATGGATCTTAATGAAATTTAATATTAAATAGATTGTACTACGAGGACAGGATGGGGTCAAATGGGGGGTGAAAGTTTATGCAGACCAAGTAGCGGTAAACAACTAGTATTAAATAAATGGTGACTCTTCTTTAATACTTTTAACAATTGTGACATTAATGTCACACCCAATCATCTCACGATATTTAATAACGATCATTAAGGTTACGATACCATTTTTCAATAAAACAGCAATTAGAGAAATCGTCTCATCTAGTACGTATAGAAATATGAAAAATAAATCTGTAATTCATCAATAATATAATTTAATATTAATTATACAATTTTTTTGTAACTATCAAATATTTGTCTGGATAAACAATTACTCAAGCTCAAACGTCATTAATAAATATAAATTTTCACTTAACATTGAGAAAATTTTGATTGATGATAAATATGAACATAAATATAATATGACAATTTGTAAAAAACTTACTTTTAATCAAATGGTTAATTTAAGTATATTATAATAATACTGAAATCCGTAATTAGATATTACTGGAAGTTGGAAATGAAGGAAAAACATGTTTATAAATATGTCGGGTAAATCCATGAATCATCGTTTCGATACAGACAACAAAAAACTAAATTACGATATACTTTTGTATGTTTATTAAACAACTAGCTGTACCAGCGACTTCGTTCGCGTGGAATTTAACTTTATTTTCTAAAATAAAAGTAGTCTAAGTTACTCCTTATACATCAATTACCTGCCAAAAAAAGTCCCGTCAAATGGGTCCAACCATTTCAGAGATTAGCCGGAGCAAACAGACAGACAGACAAAAATTGTAAAAAATGAAGTTTTGGTGTATGTACCGGATTTATTATATTCATATGCATGTAGTAAAAATTTATATATAAAGTCTATATATATAATTTTATTTATATATATAGATGTATGATGATAGATGTATAGATTAGTAACAAATTGCGTAATATATTTTATTTATATACGGAAAATAGTTAATACAATTAAATTACCTGAACGGTGATAATAGTTAATTTCGACGTTATAATAATTAATTTACGTTAAATATGTATAGCGAAATATTTTTTTTGTATTATTATACTATATGTAGCAGTAGCAGTAAAATTATTGCCATACTAGATTTAGATTTTTTTTAGTATAGGTACTTGAAAATAATAATCGAAATCATCTTATATGTTAATAAATTTATTGAAAACTACGAATAACTGTGTAAAAACAATAAAATAGTTTTCGTAGTGACTACTACGAAACCTATTTTATTGTTTCGTAATTGATAAACAGTATAACGTGACGAATATCAAGGAAAAACCTAAAAACAGCAACGTCATTCAACATTGAATTTGGAACAAATTGCCATTTTTGGAAGTTAGTTAAAACGTAATATAATTGTTGTACTGACCGTACAAACAGGAACAACGTACCGTACTCGTCGAGTGTTCATACTTAACGCTTGAGATTGACCTCTAAAGTCCAGTACCACATCGCGAGTGTGAGACTCCACCGATTTTATCGATCCATTTACAACTTAAACCGTATCGACATATGTACTCCTATATATGACCTAGTGATTACCGATATACCGACATATGAAATAAGTGAACATGAAGTGCCAAATTGTGATTTTTGTGTTAACGATAACATGGAATTATTTTGGTTGGTATTAAACAATAAAATATATAATAATACTTATAATAAATATTTATTTATTGATTTTTTTGCATACAAAATTGTATACATGACGGACTTAGCCCCTGATGACATTCTCTACCAGTCAACCATCGATTGATCAGAGATAGTAAGGCGGTGCAATTTAATAAGTAGATTATATTGAAATATAGAAGAAATTAATACAGAAAAACATACTAATATACTTATACAATTATATAATTACATAAATAAGCAAAATATATAAACCATGGATTATCAGTTATCATACATCACACAAATTAAATATAATATTTAACTATAATAAATATAAGTATGATCTCATGGTATAAATCTTCAAACAGTAATAATATCTCTGGACAATTCACACAACGCCATCTAGTCCTAAGCTAAAAGCTTGAAACGAAATTAACTTGTGTTACTGGTAATAAACAGTAGGGTATACAACTCGATATATTTTGTTTTTAATGAATACTTTATATAAAATATATATAAGTACAAGAAATAAATAGAATTATCTTAGGAATTGTTAATTACTATGAAGAAACATGTTATGTATGCTGTAAATTATGTATACATTTGAGTACATATATGTTAGTAGGAAAGATAACAGTGTAAGGTTATCAAAATATTATAAACAAAACGTTTACATGCGTAAATGATAATTGCAAATTGGTGTAGTAGTTTTCGAAATTGTTTAAATAGAAATAAAAATAATCTTTATTCAAATAAATTTACATCATTTGAACTTTATCACAATTCAAAACTGCTTGTATTCAAATAAATACAAGCACTTTTGAATTGTGAATTTTTTTTATACAACTCATTCGTAACGCATACTCATCACAAGAAGAATGAGCAAGAAACCTGTGTGTTGCCTTATTGAATAGATGTTATTTAAGATATATAATTACATAATAACAAGTACATGTGAAATAATAATCATAAATTAGTTTTTTTTAATATATAGTACATTATTAATATTATAGTTTTATATTATATTTATATATATATTTTCTTATATGTTATACTTATAAATTATGTACATATAGATAGATAAAAAGCTTTATTTTTTTCCAACTTTACAACTACTGTCCTGCAATATTTCTGTCAGAGTTTTTCTCTAGGTACATATTTATATTATTTAGCCGCTAAAACAAAGTATTCCGCTTTTACAATATTTATATATATCGTATTAAATTAAGAAAAAGAATTAGAATATTTATACATGTTTACTTTCTAGGTTTTATAATTTTTATCCTTGTGCATATATTATTTTTATAATTTATGCAAAAGGATTTGCATTGCATTTTTTGATTTCTAATATCTTGTATGTATATTAGTCATATATACGTCCAAAAACGCTTATAATAATACACACAGACATACTAAAACATACAAATATTTATAATGTGTGAGAATAGAAATCGCAACCAATAAATAATGAGACAATATGTTAAATTGATGCACCGGCTTTAATAATTATATTTTATTTATTCCTTCAATCTTATTAATTAGCATATTGGTCGACATTTAACTTTCATTTGATAAATACATTATATAATTCTTAGCAGCATTTAAAGAAGAAGCATCCTTATCCTTATTTGCATACAGACATAAATTGCATACACATTCGTTGCAATACATTTTGTTGTGATATTGACCGTTAGATAACACGATTGATGTGATAACAGTTTCATGGTTATAATAAATATGTTTTATTATAATGATAAAGTACCGGGGATAACATGCTTTGCTTGTTTTTTTTTTTAAGTATAAAATATTTTATATTAATTAGTCAATGTTGTATGGAATCTTGTAGAGTTTGGCGTGTCTTTATAATAAATAGGATATATTTATTTTATAATATTGTAGTATTTGTATTTAGTTTTTCTAAAGACAGATTTATCGATATTAGTTTTTCTAGTAGACAGACAATTTAACTAATAATAAAGTCTGAATTTACATAATTTAAAGTAACTGAATCCAGGCAATTTCTACATAAGTCAATTAATGTTTAAGATTTCTGCCATAGATTATTATTTCATTAATAATAATCAAAATAATGTAAGTAATAAAATTCAATAAAAAATAATAATAAGTTCTTTGACGTACCATTAATTAGATTCAAGCATCGTGTTCATTTGTATAAGCGTTTTAAACAGTAAATCACGATCACGAAGAACCGATTTAAAGATATTTATCAAATATAATACTAACAATGCTTGTTTTTATTAAGGGAAAAAAATAACATTATGTAGAATGACATTAGATAGGTACATGAGAAATCGGAGTACAACAGCCTAAGCCAATATTTTGTAGGTCAGACATGATTTGACTTGTAATTGTGGAAAACCGCCACTGAATTGGAATACCTATTGGCCTACTGCGAGGCAAATCAATAAAGTCCTACGGCAGGAATATGAAGAGAAAGAAAGAATCGAAAATTCATTGTTTTAAATTTAGAATACAGTCGCAGTGACTCACTATCTCGACTAGAGCTTAGAAGTCTTAGGATCAAATTTAACAGAGAGATCAAAAAACACTACCAATTTAAATTCCTCAATAACTCTCCTAATAAATATTGTCAGGATATTACTGCTTACAGCAAAATGTTAAACGTTACGGTTACCACAACGTCAATGTTTGATATCAAAATGTGCCCGTGATTATAATCTGATTTCTAAATGAAAAAGAACAGATTTTGCTATGAGGTAAATACGAATTTGAGAAACTCATTCACTGATTTAAATGGACATTATTCCAAAGTGGAATGCAATATATGAAGCTCAGAAAATTATGAGCACTCGAGCGAAGCCGGTCACTAATATCATTATAAAATTCATTCTAACCAGGTTAAATGTAAACCTAAATTATTCAATAAGAACAAAGATATCTTTACTGAATTTAAATAGAGGTACATAAATATATTGGTTAAGATTATTCATTGATCATTAAATGTGGTTCCAAATTTATTTAAAACTATGTTTAATTATCAAAGAAATATACATACAGTCATAGACGCAAACAAAATATATATAGATACTGTTGTAGTATTAAAAGCTACTATATGAAAAATTTAAATACTAGTTAGTTTCGTAAAAAAGTAGAGACGATACTTGCAAAGATGAAGTACTATATTACCTATTATTAGTAGACATGATATGTAGCTAATAACCCATCTTGCACTTACAAAGACTTGTCGCCTCTACAGGGTACATATAAGATAGTCTAGATATAGATTTTAATGTCCAGACAACACCTGAGTCTTTAACATGCAATGAATATGCCACTGTGTATATACATACATCACCGGTGAGTCATCGGCTTACTTACAGATCCAAGTGGAATATAGAAAACGCCATCATAGATAACTTTAGAGATTTTCAAAATTGGATCACTATAAAAACGTTATATATAAACAGGATATACGCTGAATATGAATATAGTCAAATTTTGTACAAAATTGTGACGTTAATTAGTATCGAAATGATGAGAAATATTATATTAGTCTTATGGTATATATGACTAATTTTATTTTATATTTATCATCATTTTATGAGGGAAATCTGTTTATGAATACTATCACTAACTGTCACTATGTTACAATGAACACTCTTCACAATTAACTAAGTATTCAATGATATTTTAAAGCATTTTTCTTGGTTAAGTAGTTCTATATTATTTAAGTTTTATTTTTCATATAACTACAATTTTAAATATATATTCCAATAGTTTAATTAATTTGGTTTCTTTAAATATGGTCCCATGTGGGTAAAAGCCTCCTCTAACTTGCTCTATTATGTTCTATTTGTAGCTACATACATCAAATTTTTCGCTACAATTTCTTTGATGTTATTGGACCAATTGCAATAAAATCACTGTCTACCTATTCGCATTTTCTTAATCAATGTTTTTTTTTATTTCAATACCTTTTGTTTCAGCTTCAAGTAGTTGCGTTACACCACTAGGTGTACCCAGCCAATGCATTTCTCTATACGACTGTCCTCAACTACTAGCTGCATTTGAACTACGGCCACTGCCAAGTAGTGTAGTCAGATTCTTGAAGCAGTCTCAATGTGGCTTCGAGGGGTATACGCCGAGAGTCTGTTGTGGACCACTCGGAGCGAGGGACGAAACATCCACTACTACGGTAAGAGAATTTTTATTTCTATAATAACAAACCGTCCTTATTCAATTATTATGTACATATTATTCTATGAAAATGTGTAGTTAGTAATTTATTTATACATAATTCTGAACATGTTAATACATCCAATCAGATAGTACTTATTGCAGTATAAAAAATAACGCATATGGACATTATAAATCCATTACCTTACTTAACGACTCGTGCTCATCAAAATTTGGGTGAATGGACTACCACATTGTTTTGGTGTGTGTCAATCAACGAAGAAGGAATTCAGCACTGTACTTTAAACGGCTTAATATGCTGATGATAAGACAACCTGCTGATGACGATAATATACAAGAATGGTAGCTTATAAGGGATTTCATGATATTATAATTATTGATTATATCTATGTTACTGAATTAATTCTTTATGTTGTCTAATCTAATAAATCTAGGTGTCTACCACTTTCCATCTCTATACTCTACCATTTCTACTCATCTAGAAATGTGTTTTAGTTTAATTCTCTGAAGTATGAGGTATATCACCACAATTCACAAAAGTTTTATCTCTTGATTTAAGAATACTCGTAAAAATAAATTCTAGGACTGACTATGATAAGAATTGTTAAGATAATACTTAAACAACTACTACTTTTCATCAGAAAGACCGTTAGCTCATTTAACATTTCCTATTATGTAGAAAAACATTTCTTTCAGCAAAGACAACGATTAACCACTGAGTCAAATTCTAATACGGTCGATCCAGTATACGATGAAGACTCTACACCAGAACCAAGAAATACTTGCGGTGTTGATAACAATGGTGACAGAATATATGGAGGTCAAATTACAGACTTAGATGAATTCCCATGGATGGCATTGTTGGGTTACAGAACTAGTAAGTTTAGATTTAAACAAGATTCTATTACTAAGACCTCATTTCGTGTCGTATCAACATCTAAAGAAGATGTAGTAAGTAAGATCGTAGGAAGTGGCAAGAGCTACACCGACAAGCGGTGGCGGCTTTTAAATTGTGGATTGATTAATATTAAGTTTTAACCGAAATTAGCTCACTACTGTATTAAGTCATAGAATCGTCTTCGAAAATATACACATAGATGTATATGTAAACAATACTCAGTATTGTTTAATATTATATGAATTTTTCAATGACATATACATCAATCTTATCAATTCAATTACAAACCAAATATGGAATACTAATATTTTTGTGGAAATCACTATATTTGGAAGTTTATGTAAATATTGTTCATACAATTACGATTTGATAAATTAAAAAGGACATTTAATAAATCATCGATTTGTGAAGTATTGACTAATTAACAAAATTAATTTAATACTTTTTATAATTTTTATTCTTGATAAATTTTATATTTTTGTAGGTAGAGGAAAAATTTCATATCAATGTGGTGGAGTTCTGATCAATCGTCGTTACGTGTTGACTGCCGCACATTGCATCACGGGTGCTATTGAACGAGAATTAGGTCATTTGTAAGTAATTTTGATTACGTACTTGCTCCAAAAGACAAAAAGACCTTTTTCCTGTAATCTCAGTTCCTGTAATTTAAGTAATTATCTTTCAATTAAGATTACAAATAATCTCTGAGGGGATTGTTAGTAATGGGCTTCATTGGTTTATGTGCAAGTTGTTAGGTAGACCTCTACATATCCCCCCTTAGATATCCTCACGTTTATTTCCCGGTAATATAGCCCTAGTCAGCTGAACTGATTTTATTATTGATGCCCATCTAAAAAAAAATATTGAGTACACCTACCACTTCCTTCTTTCATGTAATATGAAACATATAGTAGATAATGTGTTTATTGTAAATTATTAAAAAATGTGACCACTAGTAAACGTCATTTAGATAATTATTCGATTCACAATAACAAGTTCGTTAATATACATACGAGTATAATATACGTGCTGACGTGACCCGGTAAACGTAAGCATAATTTTTATATATCAACTTAGTTGACAATTCGTAAAACCCACAAACTTAGGTTGTAAGGACGCTCTATGACGTCATCAGAAGTGCTAACGTGCTCTAAAACAACAATTGTATTTTAAGTTGATTTTTTGCCATTAGTATCAAGTGTGTGACCATACTCCGTAACTAAGTGTTCCACGGCCAGATCATACACGTATTTCTAGTAGGTATTCTTTTCTAGTTATAATATAATTACAGGTAAATATATTATGATCATAGGTAAGTTGGATGGATGTTTGCATATTTGTTAGCTTTTCACACAAAAACTACTAAATGAGTTGAAATGAATTTTTGTATGTATGTAGCATACATCGTGTCTAAGATTAACTGATACTTTTAGCTGAATTCTAGAGCAGGGCAGAAGATTAATCTAATCTATTATAATTACATATATTATTATTTCTGGTGAATTTGCCACGTTGGGCTATCTTACTTGATACACATCTTATCATCCTCCACTGATGCTGCCTGCGTATACCGTTAGTGCAGGCGAGTGCGTTATTCCATTATTATCCCTTAAAAATACAAACTATGGCTTATAATAAACAAGATGTATTGTTAAAAATAAAACTGAAATATATATATAAACTATTCTTTCATAGGGTGACTGTACGTTTAGGTGAATACGACATCCAAACAGATGTGGACTGCAGCGATGGAGAATGCGCAGATCCTCCGCAAGAAATCTCAGTGGAAGCCGCATATCCTCATCATGGGTATAAAGATGGGAACAAGAACAGACGAGATGACATCGGACTTGTACGACTTTCTAGAAGAGCAAAGTATACTTGTAAGTACCGAGTTAGAGTTTTTATGATATCATCTGCATTACCTCTGTTTTACCTAATCTGTAATATACTAACTGACCCCTCAAACGTTGTAAATTAAAATCGCTATTAAAAAAGACTATTTATTTGCTTTTACAATAGCATATTCTAGCATGTAGTGAATAGTGTGACTACTAGGTCACTATATTCTCCCATTGAATTTAAAAATGAATCTGTATTATTGTGGATATGTAAAACATTTATTTGAAAAGAATACGAGCTGAGTTCTTCTCATCTCGAAATCATTCCGAATTGACGATTTAACATATCATAAGAGTCTGTTATTACAGTCTATTAACTTACATTAATAAAGATATTTTGAATTTCGAAACCAGTTAAACAAAATAATATATATAAATAATAAATGTGTTATATCAGTTAAATGAAAAAGTATGTACGCCTTTTAGTTTATTCAGATTTAGATTACGACATTGTTACAGTTCTTAACTACACAATTATACTAATAAGATCTACATAATTGTTAGATTTGCATTAATTTTACTTAATTGTATAGTAATTGCTAATAAGTATGCATGTATAATACGATTGAATAAATAGAATAAATAAAAAAAAGAAATAGACATGTCAGTGGGAGTATTCTTTTACGTGACATGTAATTTTACAGATTACGTTCAACCAGTATGTTTAGCAGACGGTAATTCACGTCTAGGTGATGGGTACGACGTGTACGTGGCCGGCTGGGGGAAAACCTTAGAAGGTAATGTATTGATTTTAACATGCGAGTCCAGTTTAATATACTATTTCGTAGAATTTCAAATCAATTTCGATCGCTTGTGGCTACACTATTTGTTATTCATGTAGCGCTGGTAATTGCATGTGGAATGGATAAAAACAAAGGGATATTTTTGTTACATTAGATACAGGTGTCTTGTAACTACAAATTTTACTATTATAAGATTTATAAGTATCTGGTATCTGGTTGTATTTCTTTTAAAATATTATAGGTATCTGATAATGGACAAAGCTAGTGAGCAGTGAGTTACATATAAAATAAGTGTAAAATTTAAATATTTAAATTTATTTATTTATACTATAATAATATATCTGTGCACGCAATGTCGTATTCGTGAGAGTCAAAATAGCAATAAGTACGTTATAACTTTTTGTTTGCAAACCGATTTGATGAATCAACCATTACATGTGACGGAATATTCATATTAAGGTAGTGAATTCATGTATAAATCGTTTAAGCCTTTTGTGAGATTGGCGTATAAAAAATTAACAAATAAAAAAAAACATTCATTTAAGATACATATTTTTTATTTAATATACAGATTTGCTCTTTTCAATAGAGAAGAAAATAATTTTCGTTTTAATTTCTAGGTAGCAACAGCCCGATCAAACTCAAGTTAAACTTACCCATATTTAGCAAAAGCGAGTGTGTTGACAAATACAGAACACTCGGTGCTGAGCTGGTTGAGAAGCAGATCTGTGCTGGTGGTGCCAATAAGCAGGACGCTTGTCGAGGTGACTCTGGTGGACCACTGATGAGGAAGATGCGTGGGGGTAAATGGGAGTCTGTTGGTGTGGTATCGTTCGGTTATGGCTGTGGTAGAGAAGGCTGGCCAGGAGTATATACCTCTGTTGCTGCATACAATGATTGGATACGATCAACTATTAGTTCTACCAACGTATAGTCATAACGATAATAAAAGAAAACGATACGTAGTTAATGTAGAGGAAGAAGGAAAAAAATCAGTAGTGAACCTCAAGAAATCAAGAATTTATATTAAAAGTAGTGTATATAAATTATTGTAAATAAATTTGTTAAAAAATTATGTTAATTTAGATTATTATAAATTATACAATATTCTTTAGATAATTAATTATTATCTCTATTATTTAAGAACAATAAGATTATACGTCATTTTGCCGTACTAGATTTATTACTCAATAATTACATATTTTTGTTTGCTATTTTAATTACAATTAGTCAATGTAGCTCGGGAAATATTAGAATATAGATTATTGATGAATATAATAACTCCTTTATTACTAGTCTGTTATGTGTTACTAGAATAAAATATCAACAAAATAAGGTAGATGTTAAGTAATGTAAGTTAAAATATCTAATTACTAAAAATACAATAAATCCAGTAAAAGCATCTTGATTTATAAAACAATACTGAAATAGATACAATATTTTTATACATTAATATTTTACGGTTATATTTGTAAGATTAATATATTACAATAAATATACTTGTCAATTTAATTATATACAAAATTATTTATAATAAATAGTTGCTTAATTTAAGTCGAGTTTTAATCATAATCATGTCATCATTTATTCATAAAATAAATAATGTAATTTAACAACACATTTTACGTAAATCAATGAATAAATATAATTAAAATTTCTTATATTAATATTAAAAACTTGTGATCACTTATAATTAACTAATATTGTTATATATACAAAAATATGTATAAAAGTTATATATAAATTATCCATCATTCCAATTTTACTATGTAGCATCGATTTATAGATTTAGAATTTGTCTCAAAGACAAAATTAATAAGTAATAGGTGACATTTCTATTAACTCGACATTCAAAATTTACACACAAGTGCCTGTTCTCCCTACAAATTTATTCTGTATTAAACAAAATATCTTCATTCTCAGAAATTATAATGCGATTTACTATAATGATATAATACGAAATAAAATGACGCGCTCAAGAGGCCGAAAGGTACCATTTGAATTAATTGTTTTAAGCTTTGATTAGATTGACAGTATATGAACATGTCGTTATACTGTTAATATTTACAGACCAATAGATTTTTTAATATTCCAACTGCCAAAATAAAAATATTATATTTTTATGATTTTATATACGCTAAAGCATAGACAGATATTAAGAATCTACTAAGAACATGACAGATCAGCTGGCGGATAACAGACGTAGATGGCCGATGTATTTAAAAAAATACTATTAGAAAAACAAAATAGAAAATGGAATCAAAAAAACTTTTAAAAGGTAGGGACAGAAAAAGCTCTCAAAATAAATGATACACTCTGATTTCACACCTGAGAACCCTATTAGCTTACGATGAGTTTTATTGAATACTATTCCATTAAAAATATAAGAAGTAATGGTTTGTTTGAAGTATCACGTGACTAATATGTCTATCTGTCGCGCTTTCACGTAAAAACTATTCAACCGATTTCAATGAAATTTGGTACATACAAGACTAGACACTGAATAAGCAACATAGGTTACTTTTTAATGAGAAAAAACGGTTGTAAGGAGTAGAAAGGGGAGATGAAAGGTTGTATATTAATGTCGTCATTTTTTAAGCTAGGAGCTTGAAACTTTTTTTAGGCTGCTGATTAAATATGACATACAAAGTTAATAAATTAAATAGGAAATGAAAACTTGTACGGAAATTGGAACACTGCTAGTATATTAAACTTTTTATATACCTACGTATGTGTCTTATTTGTAAAATAATTTTCCAAATAATTAAAAATTCTATCCAAGGTCTATTATATTATTATATTATGACTATTCCTCGCGGACGAGGACGCGGGCACGGTTAGTTATATATACAAATAACAAAATTAAAATAGTTTGACACTTATGTTTTATAGTTGCGGGTAGTATTGTAGTAATGTATTTATTATTCATTGCTATAATATTAACTACATACGGTAAGAACGTAAATTAATAGGCTCCTTAAATCATACAAATTATAAGCGCAAAGAATGACGCAAGCATTATATAGTTAAGTACCACTGTAGATTTTCCAGCATCATAAGAGTCAAGTAATAATTGCATACAAAAAATGTCTATTGATTTATCCATTAATCAATAAAAAAACTACAAGTAATTTTCAATATGTTTGTTTTTATGTAGGTATGTACAAATCTTTAGGAATACCAAAATTTTGTCATGTGATGGTAATTCCAAATTTAAAAAATAAGGCAAAATTAAGATTGTAATAAATATAAATGAAGTAATATTAGATAAACCCATGTGAATACTTTAATAACATGTTTTTTTTAAAATAATATCGCACGCACTTCTCGTATCGTAAGCGATCAATAACTAGAAATACTGGAAATACTAAAGGATTAAAATAGTAGCCTGCATCAGCGGATGTCACATAAGATATACGGCTCCTACACCTTGGATATTTATGGAACTAAGTTAGGGTTACAACACGTACTTGTAAATAAATGTTTTTATAAACATTTTTATTCAGAAGTAATTTTTATACATCAATAAAAAATAACAAATATATGTTAGTCATCTACATATATATTTAAGCAAAATCTCTCTCTCTGCCTAGTCATTTGCCATTTCATTTGGGTCAGCTCTCCTAGTCCTTCGCCAGGCACATCTGTCCTGGTCGTTGAGTAGTTTATTTCCGTCTTCTTTAGGTCGTTATTAATAACAGGCTGCCAAGTTAGTAGGGGAAGACGGAACGAGGAAGACCACGTCTCTTATATATTTAAACAAACAAGATAAGTAGTATAAGTAACGTAAATTCTGAATAAAATAGCCTATAAGTTTTTCCCGAAATGGTTTTTTTTTAAGTAATTGAAATAGCAAACAAGCTATTGTTAAGTGGTGTGGTCGCCTATATACACGAAGAGCCCTACAGACTTCACATTATCATGTGGCACCCGTGGTGACACTCATGATATTCCAGATAAATAGGATGTCATGACATCTTGACAAATTACTGACTTTTATCGTCTAATTTCATATGGTATCATATATACGCACATTTATTTATCTATTTATTAGAAAGAGTCCAATTCATTTAGAGCTGGACACGATTTAGCTTTTAAATCTTGCTGGATAAATATCTCTGTCCGCTAGTTTATCAGTCTTTTGTCTCTGTACCTTTTTCACAATTTATATCTATAAATAAACTCACAATAAAAATAAACGCATTTATATAAACAGACCCTTTTGAATTAAAATTAATTATTTTTCCGAAAAGTGAATAATTATGATAATTAATCAAGGTAACCTTTTCAGATAGCATTTCTTTTCGACGTCCATTGTTTCCCTAGTTCTCCGTGTTGTTCTCATTTCCTTGCTTTTTCCCTGGCCATGTACCTTTACGTATATACTTTGTCAGTTTTAAGAAAGAGCCTTCACAATGACCAACTGTGACAACCCTAATCGAAGCAGACAAAGTTAGTATGACGCTTTTGTTATTTGTTCAAACATGTCTCAGTTACTTGATATATCTTTTCCTACAACTAACGAGATTGCCTTCTATCGCCTAATCTGATATGAATGTTTTAATATTTCAGGCTTACGTCTGAACAAATCGAACAGGCCAAGAGGATAACGGTCATTTATCTACCTTCATGTCAGGTTTTTTACGGATAAGGTAAACAGAACTAAGAGCAAAACATATCCTTATCGTTTTTCGATATGCCCAATCCGAAGCGGGCATGTTGAGTATTTTCACAGAGAATATAAAATTATTGTTACTAAAGGAAATTTAAAGGGCTAGTAATATAATAATTTATTTATTTTCTTGCTACATGGTACAGTTTTTGATTTTACTAAATAACACAATTACATGCAGCACCCGTAGGGCTATGCAAATATTGAAATGAAACCATAATTAATTCAATACAAAATTACATTTATAAATTTCAGAATCCTAAAAATACATGAATTTTAATATTTATATTAATTAATTAATGTCAGCTTATTAATACCAATTTATGTAATGTCATTCATTGTGCATGTAATATTTCACTGAGTAAAAACACTTATTTGTCAGCCATTTTATTAATTTTTCTTTGAACCATTTTAAATAGAGATTTGTAACTGTAGTAGGTAATTAATTACAGATATTTATGCAGCAGGTATAACTACTATTGTGATACAAACGTGTTCTGATTTTTGGTAACACAAATTTTCTAGACTTTCTCATAGAAAACTTATAGAAGTCACCACCGCTTTATAAATAAAAAATATGAAAGCATTTTAAACAGAATCTATTGAAAATGGATATACTTTGACTATAACACAGAGCACTTTTTCCCTAATCAACACAGAACGTACATTATAGTTAATATGAAAAAAACTAAAAATGAACAATGTGATAAAAAATACTATAGTTACCATCGAGTATACGTAAGTATTATTGCAGCTATCGTTTCCGAATTACTCAACTTTCAGCTTCGAACGCTAAAAGCTTTTTTCCACTAAACTTTATTGATACAAATGAGAGTCGTCTGTCGATCGACAGCATACATTTATCAAGTGGAAATACGACCGAATGAGATACATCAGCTGGTTGTTTGTTGGCTTAATAAACGATTGAAGATCGTTAATATTCTAAATCAAGAGGTGGAAACTTCTTTGAGACCGCAAGTGCCAAGTACGAACAGCAATTTTTAAGAAGTTAGGTTAACTAGAGTTAAAACATTGCAACACAACTTGATTATAATTTAAAAATGCGCATCCTGAAATAAGTGTTTATAATTGTAATATGGTTATAATATGTCTATAACATATATCTATATAAAACCATTTGATTTTAAAAAACATAATGAATTTTGAAGTACGTACAGTAGAGTGCTAATATTTTTCTTATACAATAGTATTATTTTTATACAAATCACAGTAGTAATAGCGCGGAATTGTCGCTTCATTAAGAAAATACTATTAGGAAGGGGATTGTTAGTAATATGGACAGTTAACCCCATTACTAGCAATGTACCATATCAGGTTGACCTTCACGCGGTTCTCCCTGAAACCATCAAGATAAATTGCTGATGATTTTTGCTACAATGGGCTTACTTATGAACATTAGTTCAGTTCCTAATGTTCATCTTATCATCTCTCACTAGTGCACTACTAGTGTATACTGATAGTGACGGCGAGAGCATCATTCCATTATCATCGATTAAAAAAAATACTATTATAAACAATATTGACCTGAAATCACGATAATAAATTTTGATGTCTTTCAGCGGTTTATTCATTAAAATGTAAAACACACCTTCGTATTTATAATATTACAATATTAATGAAAATAAGCACGGATAGAAAAAAAGTACTTACTTTAATAAAAACAAAATAGTGCTATAAAAACTACACATTAATAATTTCAACGCTTCGCTCGAAGTCATGTTGATTATCTTCTTAATGTTTGCTATTCAAATATATCTAAGAAAAAGTTCCATTTGGTCGTCTGCATCGCAGCACAACTGGCGGAAATAGGAATC